TACCTAGAAGTTTCTGTCCACTCAAAGCCAACCCAAGCGGTACACTTTCCTCTTCCCAGAATTCAACATAAGCAATTCCTTTCGAACGTCCCGTTCTTGAATCGGTGATGATACGGACGTCACGTACACTGCCGACAGCGCTAAAGAACTCCTCCAAATCACGCGGACGAGTTTGACGTGCAATCTAAAAAGTGAAAGGGAATATATAACAACTGCTGAACTATCTTTCTAGCCTGAAATAAAAGCAAGTTTCTTACCTGCAAGATAAATAGTGTTCTCTGATCCCTTTCTTCAGCAGTCATATCTAGTTTAGCACCGCGTGGTGGTGATGAACGTGCAGTGAAAGGCATCACATCACGACGTTCTGGTCCAGGTAGACGATCTGGAACAAAGGAGTTTAATAAGCTCGGTAAAACTGCGACTGCGAGCTTTCACACTTCCTTAGCCTTCTCGATGCGCTGAGTCTAGGAGCTTGAAATCTTAAGTTCTCAAAAATGTGCTTTTCAAAGTGTTTCCGCGCATTGGAGATTGCTGGAAGGGCTGGAAGAGAGTTCCCGCGAAAAACAGCGACTAGCTCAAGAAGCTCACTACCCACTAGTCACTACCCAGTTGGCGATATCTCACTTCCAGTCCCTTCAACAATCTCCAAGGCGAGAAACACCAAAAAAGCCTTTTTTTTTACAACTTTGACAGATTTTAAGCACTCCTGGACTTAGCGCACCCAGAAAGCAAAGGAGATATAAAGCTTGCAATCTCGATTTTCCCTAGCCTCAGCCTTAATAAGCACTTACTTCTCGGAGGTGGTGATCTTCTCATGGGCGAACGTCTGTCACGATGGTCTATGACACGAGGACGTGATCGCGAACGACGGCGACGATCGCGATCCCGAGACGAGCGACGGCGATCCCGCGAACGAGACCTAGAAAAGAAAAATTGAGCTCTTGACTAAGGACGAGGTTTGCGGATGAACTTACCTAGAGCGCCTGCGATCCCTAGATCTGCTTCTTCTTCGATCCCGATCCCTGCTTCGACTGCGTCGACGATCTCTCGATTTCGAACTGCTATGACGATGACGACGTTCACGGCTCGAACTACGTTTCCTGTCGCGACTAGAACTGCGCTTACGCTTCTTACGATCACGGCTGCGCGACCTAGAAGAAGAAGTTATGTATACTGTAAGTGGCGTTAGTTGTTCCTGAAGAGATTCTGAGTCCATAATGATCAATCTGTGTGAATCTGTCGTAAAGATCCTCGATTCCATGGGGTTTTCCATGACGGCTTGTGCTTCGCGCCAAGAGCCTGCAACAATGGCCCGAGCCGAGCGTTCGCCCCTCAGATTTTAATTCATCTCACGAAATTCTTGCCTTAGCAGCTCATTAGTTGTTCACTCAGCATTAAATTTCGTATATTTGTAATTGGAACAAATTACCTACCGATTCACCTTTCTTGATGAGAAGAATCCAAAAAGTTCTACAAAAACCAAGAATAATATCTTAATTGATAATTTGCTGAATTATACGTGGGACCGATAAGTCCTGTTTTACACACATACCATACTTTTTTGGCATAAGAGCAACACACCGCTTCAGACGCAATTAACTTACCTCCACAAGCCCAAGAAGTTTTCCCAAAGCGCGCTTAAGAATTACGCACAACCTAAATATTTTTTAGAATAATTGATGTCACCAAAACCACCTCAAAAAATATTATTACTCACTCTACTATCCCAGTAAAGAACTAATGAACTGATCAATTTGAGATCGCAAACGCTCAGC